TAATCTTTCAAAAAAAAATATTGAATTATTTAAATTACTGTTTAATAATCAATTTCAGTAAAAATGAATATACAACATTATTAAGCAAAATTTAGACTACTCCAAAGATAACTTTACTGTAATAAATTGGTATTTAATTTAATTTATATTTTTTTCTATTATATAATCATTACATAGTATTCACAACAGTTTACGCATAACTCAACTAGTTTACTCTTCTATAACAGTTAAACATACGTTTATATAAGTAGGAATATTTATTAGTATATTAATAGGAAAAATGTTTTTGCAGTTAATGCAGATAAGTTATATGCATTTATTCCCAAAACGACGTCGTTTTGGTATTAAAATCTTAAAAAATTATAAATATAAAGACTATTATAACCCTAAAATAAATTCAAATTACAAAAATAACATGATTTTCGCCTCAAAACGACGTCGTATTGGGCTTACTGCAGATAACTTATGTACAGTAACTGCAGAAAAAATGAACCATATATTAATATACATTTATACATATTTATATGTTTAATATAAGTATATTAAACAATTACATGTGGGTTTGATATTCATCATATTAAAAGATATAAAATTGTTTACATTTTAAGTAAGACAAACTGACAAAGACAAAAGCAATGAAGATCATATGCATGCTAGAGTAGGTATTTTTTTAATTTAAATTTGAAATATAAAAAAGTACTAGTTTGTGTCTTTGTGTAACTTAAAATGATACAACTTTATTAGGATATAGACGAACTATCGTTTGCAATAAATAAGGATTGTAGATCTATTACAAATTAGCTGTCAATCAGCTATGATTAAGGAAATAAAATTACCTGTTACTATTTCTATTTAATACAAATCTATTATGTCAATCAACTGCAAAGAAGAAAATTAATCTATTCAATACTGTAGGTCTCCTATGATTATATAACTGTGTATTCAGTTATTAAAATCCTAATATTTGTACAACTCAACAAATATTATCTCATTTACACAATGTGTAGAGATTATTGCCTAACTCTACAAGAATTGCGGTTCAACAAATTGGCTCAACAAATCCGGTTGAACCCGGTTGAACCAATAACCCAGTAACTCGACTGAGTCGATGACCGGTCCAAGTTTTAAAACACTGGGTTCAACTGATTAAAGTTGATTCTTTGTCGTGGTACTTGTAAGAGGGCGCACAAGTAAAACGTCTCTAATGAGTTGAGCATTCATAATACGAGGCAGGTTGTCTCCACCATTTTCCTCAAGGGTGGTGGAAGATCAATCTAGATAGGGCGGAGAACATCAATACTGAAAGGTCTTCACCAACTGGAAATAATTAAATAAAGATTTGATTTGTGATTTAAACTAAAAAATCAATTTGAAAAATCTGTAGAAATAGAGAAAGTAATTAAATAAATATTCTAAATCTCTAAGGAAGAAGGATATTATTTTTGAAATTAACGATTAATACTATAAGCTTCTGGGTTATTATTCGTGGTCTGAAATTAATGATGGCTTATGAATGTTTTTCAAAACAAAATTACCTAAATTAGGCGTGATTGTCTCCTGATTGAAACCCAATTTAGACGTGATTGGTGACGTGTCAGGTGTTGACACGTGTCACATTTTTAAACTCAGAAGCCTCTGAGTTCTGGGTTTGTGATTTAATATCAACTATTTATTTTTTTTAATTTAAATCACAAATCAAATCTTTATTTATTTTTTTATATTAAATCACAAACCCAGAACTCAAAGGCTTATGGGTTTAACCGCTCTTTTAATACCATTCTTGCAAATTTAAATTGTGTTTGTGAGAAATAAAATATGTAAAACGAGATGTCATTGCGTAGATCTCAAAAAGTTATGTGGAATCAAAAAAAATTACTTGATTTGGATACCCGAGTCAAAAGTTATGGCCTTCAAAAGTTTAATGATTAATTATTATTATTTTTAGAAAAAAAATTTGACACGTGTCAACACCTGATGAGATACGCTCAAATTTAGACGTGATTGCCTCTCGAGTGACGCCCAATTTAGGCGTCATCGGTGATTGTGCAATAAATATGTAATTATTTCTAAAATTGTAATAAATGCATAATTAATTTATTAAAAAGCATTAAATAAATTTTTTTTGCCACATATTATCAGCTTTAAATTCAATGTTTGTCTATTATTGTAATTTTTTTCTTCACTCCAATCTCACCTTCTATCTTCAATCCATAATAACGGAAATTCTACAACTCGATAATGCTGATTGTAAGACTAATTGTATTGATTTTGATTTAATGAATAGGTTGACATAAAGGTTATTCAACTAAAGAACCAGAAAGTTATTTAAAATAGATAATTGTTTTTGATAGATGCATTTATCAAAGGGGTTTTAGTTTGTCATTTAACATGACACGAAAAACTTTCCTACACACACAATATTTTGTGAGGCCCACATTTTTTAAAACAAAAAACAAAATAAAAACTAAGGCACGCAAAACGAATCTCTATAATATTACATAATCACTTTTCCTACAACATAACTCTTATAAAACCCTTTATCAAAGGGGTACAATTGAGAAAGTATGCCAACAAACAAATGAATTAGATAAAGCTGGAAAGGGATAAAATTGAGAAAGTATAAAAGCAGAGGAGTTTCCAAAATCCAAAGTCCAAAGCACCTTGGCACCATCATTAACGTTACAATTATATTATATTATTATATATTTCTGATTTCACTCCATTCTTTCGCAGGGACACCTAAACCCAATCCTCCCTTCAAATGCACACTGAATATTCCTCTCCTCATAAAACTATATATACAAACGACACATTCCTCTCTATCCCTCACATATACTCTACACTTTTATGTACACAAAATGAACTTCTAGACTGACATTCTCTCTGTCTCTATTATTTTCCCATCTTTTTCATCCTCTGTTCCTTCTTGCACTATTCGCAAATTCCATTTTCATATAAGATTGAGAACTCAGTTGTGAGTTTCACCGTGGAAAATTGTAAAAAGAGGGAAGAAGATTCGATCTTTCAATTTAGGGGGTTTTGGGGATGAGGCTTAACGGAGAAATCTCACGCGTAGAAGAAGAAAAGAAAGAAGCGGGTACGACGGCGTTTGCGAGTGGCGATTGCGGGCAGAAAGTGGTGGTTGGGTATTCGTTGACGTCGAAAAGAGCTTTCTGCAACCAAGCTTGACTGGCCATGCACGGTTATTTAAATTAGATACTATTTAAACAGTAAATTATCGCTTCTCAGCTTTATCTAATTCACCTGCCTCTGTTTACTGAAACCGCCTCCGAACATCCATTTTCGGCAGTTAAATTATGACCGCCTCTGTTTTAAAAGAAATCAGCGACTACTTCCCATATTCGACATCCAACCCGCCTAGGTTTCTTTATATTTTAGGTCGGTCAAGCCCAAACGCCAGAAGTTCCGCCTAGGAATACATTTAAACAAAGGCGATTATGATAAAACGCCACCAAGTCCGACGGTTTATGATGCCAGAAGTCGTCGGCCTTGTTAGCCGCCCCAATTTCCGCCTGAAACGTTTCTTCTGAGGCGGTTCAGTGGTAACCGCTTGAATTCATCCGATGGCAAATGCCACTTTTCTCTTAGTGTAACGTCCCACCTAAAAATATACATAAATCCAGATGTTCTTAAAAAGACTTTAAACATCTTTGCCAATAAATTATTTAATATTCTAAGAATAATAGGGATAATATAACACACACAAATTGTATTTTGTTTGATTGTTAAAATAGTATAAGTACTAAACAAACAATAAACCCAAAGAACAACAAAACCTCTAAATTTTTGTTAATAACTAAATCAGGATATGATCAGATAATAAGAAATTGGACCTAGTATATAAAAATGAAATGGGAAACCCTGGGCTTTACTAGGGTTTGGCGGTAGTCTCCATGGAGGCAAACCAGGGAAGCATGGAAGGCGGAGAAGGAGCGAAAATTAACAAAGACAGAAATGGTGATCAACATAACGTGGATGGAAAGGATCTGGTTGTTGCGGAAAAGAGGCCATATGCGAAGGTGGTACAACACAATCAATGGGATGAGTTGGAGTCTGACATCCAGATCTGCATAAACGGCAACAGAGTGTCCAACTTCAAACTGTCATATGCGTTTATGCAAAATGCTTGGCAACAATGGTGACAGACTTTGATCGTGAAGCTCCTGGGAAAAAAGGCATCTTATGACTTTATGAAACAATGGCTGGAACACATATGGGCAAAAGAAGGAAGAATTCTGGTAACAAATGCAACGAATAACTTCTTTCTTGTATGATTTGAAAGAAAAGAGGAAATGGCAAAAGGTAGGTACGATGGACCACGGATCATCCTAGATCATTATTTAAGCATTGAATACTGGGTCCCAAATTTCGAGCCTGCAAAAACTACGGTGGATAAGGTGGTCGCTTGGATTAGGTTGTCGAAATTCCCCGCAGAATATGTCAAGTCGCAATGGTGGGGACAACCCCAAGATCCGTTGGTCGTCCAAGGAAAATAGAAAAAACTAATTCGAAGAACAATCTGGATGCAAACAACAGAAACAGTCTCTCTATTTGAGTAATTGTAGGCACATGTCACACCTGGTACTCCTTTATCTCAATGATGTGCTCATTCCTTTTATGGAATGTGATAGGGGTTGGCAAGAAGGAGCTTGGTGGTGACCTGAAGTTTTTAGTAGTCAAATACTCGATTCAGCTGGTAGTTATTATAGAACTTGCACCTCTGGGTTAAATTGCAAGTGGTTATTGAAGAAAATTGAGTTTGATAAATATACCTTAGAAGAGGCTTAAGGATTTATAGGTGGTATTTGGTGGCTTTGGTCATCTTCACATGTGTCTGTCGATGTGGTAAGACAATCTACCCAATTTCTACATTCTCGCGTCTGTATCCAATGTATGCGAAAGTTTGATTTTACTTCAGTTTATGCTATTCCAAATGAGCATCTTCTCAGTCCCTTTAGGAATATTTGTAGCAATAGAAAATGGATGAGCCCTGGTTAACGGTGGGAAACTTCAATGAGATTTCAAGTGTTACGGACAAAAAAGGAGGTAGTCCACCGGACCCTTCTAAGTGTGACAAATTCAAAGCTCGGTTGGAGGACTGGAATTTGGATGATTTGCCGAGCTCTGGTGCTTTCTCCACTTGGAAAGGACTTAAGTGGCCTCACCTCCCTCGTGTTTATAAGAAGCTCGATCGTGTATTTGCTAATGCATCCTGGCGAATAGAATATCATCAGGTTGATGTTAGCAATCTGGTACGTACTTGTTTCGATTATCATCCTATGCTTATTTTCATTTCAGGTCAGCAAAATACATAGGTTCTTAGACAGTTTCGATTTGTGGTAGATTGGCCGAACCACCCTCAGTTTCCACAACTTATGAAGATAAAACAAGAAATGAGATTATCAAATCAATCACATGTTAGGAGATTTTGTTCAGCCCTTGCAGCGATGAAATAAGGAGGTTCATGGTTCCAAAAGAAGACCAAGTTGTTGAAGAGGCTAGAGGATCTGCAGGCTCAATTGCTCCAGCATGAAGATGCCAGTCTTCGCCAATTAGAGAATGTTTGCTAGGAGGAGTTGAATGTGGTTCTTGACAGGGAGAAACGACTATACTTTCAAAAATCTGAACAAAAGTGGATCGTCGATGGGGACCGAAGCACAAGGTTCTACCATCTGAAAACTATAGCCAGGAGGAGTGTAAACAAGATTGTTCGACTATAGGATGGCACTAATAGTTGTGTAATAGACCCTCAATGTCTTCATGATTTGGCATGTTCCTTTTATAACAATCTTTCTCTAAAGATATGGAATACAGAAGGTGGATCTCCTTAGATAGTATATGGCTTGTGCTTGCCCAAACCGACCTTAATCTTTGGTCTAGGCTTCCTTCAGTATTGGAAATTAGGCACTGTTTATTTGATATGGGAGCATATAAGGAACCGAGGCGAGATTACTACCCAACTATATTTTTTCAAATGAACTAGGATAGATTAAAAGATAAGGTATGTGCTTTATTTAGGAAAAGTGGCAACATCCTGAGTCTATCTGGCATGTCAACTGTACTCTATTGGTGTTAATACCGAAGCAAACATCCCCATCTCACATTAGTCAATTTCATTCAATATCTCTCTGCTCTATTTTGTACAAGTTACAGAGCAAGCTACTTGTCGACAGGCTCAAACCCATTATGGAGCAACTCATTTCTCCTTTCCAAGCGAGCTTCGCCCCAAAAAGGCAAATTCATGATAATATTATCATGGTGTAGGAACTAATTCACAGTATAAACAAGATGTGCCTCAAGCGCCCTTTTATGAAAATTACAGTGGATTTGAAGAAAACCTATAATCGATTGAATTGGAATTTCTTAAAGAATATTGTCCAAAAGATCTGGTTACTCGATCACTTTGGTGAGCTTATTATGAATGTTGTTACCTCTTCATCTATTAAGGTATTATGAAATGGTTGCCAGACGTCTGACTTTAACCCTTCTAGGGGTGTTCGTCAAGGGGACCCATTGTCTCCTTATTTTTTTGTGCTGGCAATGGAGAAGTTAAGTCATATCATTAACATAGCAGTGGCAGGGAAACTTTGGCATCCCATTAAGGTAGGCCTCCAGTCTCCCATCTAATGTTTACTGACGATCTAATGTTGTTTGCAGAGGTATCACTTCCTCAGATGGAAATAATGCTGAAATGTATCAATTTGTTTGAGGAGATATCAGGATCAAAATTGAGTGTTCAGAACACTAATGTCTTCTTCTCAAAGAACATGTAGAACAACTTGCTAAGGACATTATTAAGAGATACGACTTCAAATAGGTGCGCAATGTTGGGAGATATTTAGGTGATTGGATGATACACGTGAACGCAACCAAACAACATTATAAGAATATTATTGATAAATTAAATCCAATCTAAGGGGTTGGCAGCAACAGATTTTATCACAAGCAGGTAGGATTACGCTATCCTAATTCGTTTTATCTACGATCCTTTACTTTCGCATGCAGCATGGTAAGCTCCATGAGGCTATCTATGATGAAATTGAAAAGATTCATAAGGGATTTATATGTGGTGAAAGTGAGACTAACCATAGGCATTATTTGATTACATGGGATACCTTAACATTGCCAAAGGAGTTTGGGAGGCTGGGACTGAAGTGGTAGAAAGTTATGAACGATGATTTCCTTTCAAAGTTGACATGGCAATTCCATAATGAAGCAAACTCTTTGTGGGTAAGATTCCTGAAAGGAAAATACATGGGTAGTAGGGTTGACGTCTCTACATCTATTGCTCTCTGTCGGGTTTGGTTGTTTATGGAAAACAAGGTCATTTAGGATATTGGAGATCATACTTCAGATTTTTCTTGAAGGATAAATGGGCACCAAGACTTCAGCCCTTGATTGATGGAATTATTAATCTTGTCCCAGAAGAAGAAGCCCAATAATATGTGTATGATTATATGAATGACAACATCAATTGGCAAGTTAAGCTACTGCGACTTGGCTACTTGAAAAATACTATACAACAAATTTGAAGTTGCTTGCCATTTGCTTTGCAGGATGGATCGGATAGTCGGGTTGGAAGACTTGAAAATACGACTAGGGTCACGGTAAAAAAATGTTATACATCTCTATTGGGAACACGATGGATGATGCCCACTTGCTATATGCATTCTGGAGAAATCTGTTGGGTTAGAAAGGTCCTCAACGCATAAATTTTTGAATGGAAGTTGGCCCATAACAAATTACCTAGCAAAACATGGGGAACCTCGATACCTCATCTGCAATGAATAGGTAGAAATCTTGTTGCATGCTGTTGGGGACTGTCCCTTCATCATAAAGATATGAGCTGTTATTCTGCCTCCTTCAAAAAGGAAAACCTTCTTCGATGTTGATTTACTTGAGTGGCTACAATGGAACTAGAGTCATAAGGGGAAGTACAGGTACAATCACATGGGCTACTCTTTTTGTTGTTGGCTAGTGGATTGATATGCCTCTGGCAGATGTAGTTTTCTAAGCTGAAATTGATAAGACTTGACTCATAAAAGAGCAATTTATATACATATTTGCTTACTATATTGATTCTTTCCATGTCAATGATATTTCTCACCTATTGGTTGTGATTATATAGGTAGAAGAAGTGAAAACTACAAAATTGTAAAAAGCTTGTTGAACGTGACTCCACACGGGTGAACCTTGGGCCAAATTCCAGTAAGTTGGCGCAAACTGGCGCCATTCTGGCGCAAGATGGCGTCGTGCTCCTCAGTACAATTTCCAGGAAGTTGGCTCAAGTTGGCGCCACACCGGCGCCAACCCGCGCCGGTTTACGATTGCACATGACCGCGTTGGCACAAACGGCAGAGAGTTGGCGCAAGTTGGCGCCACACTGGCGCCAACCCACGCCGGTTTGCGAATTTTTCAGGACGTGTTTTTTAAATGACAGAAGCATGGCGCAAGTTGGCGCCACACTGGCACCAGCCCACGCCATTGTGCGAAAAAAAATCATCGTGTCTTTTAAGGGCAATTTTGGAAGACGATGGGGAGATATATAAAAAGGAGGTTTATGACAGAAACGAGGCACTTTTCGACGGCAGAGAGGAAGGAACAAGGATTGCAGAATGAGGAGAGGAACGTATGATTGTTCTTAGTCTCTTTTTGTAATTACTCTCTTCTTCTTTATCTTTTATAATTTTATGTCAGCCATGACAATGGTTGGCTAGTTCTTTTTATTGTGGTTAGGGTCACAAATCCTATGTGAACCCTTGTTACAACGGATTGGTTTATAATTACTAGTTTATATATTTATCTTTATTTCTACTCTGTGCGTAATTTCTATCTTCTTTATTAGAATTGATCAATCTGATAGTTGATGATAGTTTGAGGGTTAGAACCCTAGATAGGAATATTGGGGTTTTTAATCTTGAAAGGGAATAGGATAACAATTGGTATGTGTGCTAGAACTAGACGTATATTTGATTGCAGATGCTTAATTTATTGTGTTCATTGCTTAAATCCATAAGGAACATTGCAAGGAATTGGAGTTCCAATTGGGGTTAAAGGGTTAATCTTACAAGGAATTGAGGGTTAACTAATAATATTTTTAGATGATAATTTATCTGAGTATTTATGTAAATGACTATTGTAAATCAATCCAAAGTAAGAAGTGGGAATCATTCGGTGAGTGTACTCTAGCTACAACGCTTTCTCATATTTTACAAAATCAATTTCTATTTTATTTCTCATAAACAAAAACCTTGGAAAAATAAGTCTTTACTTTTAGTTCTTATTTTTTCTCAAAATCAACAACAACCTTCACACACCCATATGAATTCCTTCCATCTTAAAAGGATAATTATTTGATATTTGATCCCAATCCCTGTGGAGACGATAACTTTCTTATCACTGTATTACTTGTGCGATCGGTACACTTGCCAGTGAGCACCATGGATGATATGGTAGTGGCGTAATTTAGTTGCACATGGCCAACCATCCCCTCCATTTATCCATTCGCATCTCACTGTGATTGAAAATGTGCAGCAAATGTGCGATGCGTTTGTACAGGACACCTCTCTTTTGGAATAATTTATTAAATTAAATACAGATGGTGCTTCTAGGGGCAATTTGGGGGTCACTGCTTGTAGTGGGGTGCTGCGAGACTCAAGTGGCAGCTGGAGAGGTGGATTTTCTTACAAATTGGTACTTGTTTAGCATGGAAAGCCAAATTGTGGGGTGTTCTGAAAAGGCTCCAGTTGGCTTGGAGTAAGGGCATAAGGAAACTAATCATTGAAAGTGACACAAGCTCTCTTGTCGCATTGCTTACTAGGCATGGTGAGAAAGCTCATGAGTCATCTTTTGTGACTCGGATTCGAGTAGTGATCAATCGTAACTGGCAAGTCCACTTTATTAATACATTGAGGGAGGCCAATTGTTGCGCCGATTACCTGACGAACCTCCTGCTATACCGCCCAGATATGGATAATGAATCTGTCTTCTTAGAAACTCCTCCGAGATTACTTTTGCTTTTGTTTGCGAACTCCTCAGCCACTTCTTAAATTAGAGGTGGCAGTTGATTCTTTTCTTTTTATTTTCTGCTTTTTATTTTCTTTATGTATCAAAAAAAAATTGGACCTAATCTTATATGATTGAATTTAGTCCAATTTGGGATATTATAGTGTTGAAGCTTGTCTAGGATTGTTGACTTTCAAGCAAGATGGTATCTTTTGATGAAGCCTAGATGTCGCAAGCAGAATGATTTAACTAGAATTAGAAGTGGGATTGGTACTTGCAAGGCATTTTGATGCTCAAGCATGTGTTTGAGTGAATAAGTATATGTTATATGGGAAAGATCAATGTACTTGGCTCTTTTGTCTCTTTGTTTGAATGTACCCAGATCTTTTCTCTCTCCATAGTGTGTGGCATCACTGGCATGACTTAGTCTTGACTGATAGCTTTTCTTTGTTGTATTAATTGATATGCCGTTAGATTGGCTCATTTGGATGACCTTCATAGTCTACATTTTTATGTGGAATGCATATTGCTCAGCTGCATTGGAGACTTAGTTGAAAGTTTGTCTATGCCATTCAGTCATTGGTTGAATGAGGCAATGATCAACTTTGGGATGTTGGGTAATCTGCAAGTTATCGTATACATGTATCGTACACGTTTACTAGTTAAGGACTTCTTTGGGTTTAATCTTATGATGGGCCTTGTCTTAATTCAATGGGCTTCTATTATAGTTTGTAGCTTATACTTTTGGTCCACATCAGCTAATAATATTTTGTCTACCACACAAAAAGTGGGGAAAAAAACTTCTTACCCTTTTATTATCATAACTCTATTGTGAGAATAATAAAAAATACAAAGGATATTGTAATAAATTTTGTGTTGCTGTTTTTATGAATATACAATTTTTTTATTCTATGCATCGATTCTCAAAGATCTAACTCAACCAGAGGGTTGAAATTACATATGATTCATGCTGAAAACAAGACACTAAGACTCACTGGACCTGTGTATGTTTTAGTGTGTGTAACTGCACACACAAATTTTTTGGAAAAAAAAATAAAATATATTTTGGGTCATGAACAAAAATCACATGATCCAATTTAATCTCTTAAAAAAAAAGTCGACTCGTTATCACTTTAAAATCTAAAATAGACCCATGTTAGTCATTTTGAGGGATTAATGTGGATCTTTTTGATTTTCTGAGGACCATGATTTTGATTATCTGAGTCTATTCTTGAATTCTGAGGAATCACGAGTAGACTTTTTTTCTCCTTAAGAGATTAAATTGAGGCCTATAATTTTTGGAGTACCCAAAATGTTCTATTGTAACAGTTTATTTGACTCTTGATTACTTTTTTTATATTAAGTTAAAAAAAATTTATATATATTCTTTTGTATTTTAATATATTTAAAATTTTCTTTAATTTTTTTTTTCTTTATTCCTTTATTCTAAGGGTGCATACATTAAAAAAAAAATTCTAAGTCTGCTATTGGACTCAAATATATTGCTTCTAGGGGGCGTTTGGTTGAGGAGAAATTTTTTGAATACTAGGGAAATAGAATTGATAGGGAAATGGTAAGAAAGTGAGATAAAGTGAGATAAATAGAAAAATGTTAAAAAAAGTAGTTTGATGGGGAAAAACTTTACTGGAAAAATTAAGTAACTTTTAGGAAATGTATGTTTGGTTGGAGGTAATATATAGTGAAAAATTTGAGTGAACAGTGAGATTACCAACTTTTTAACAAAAAACCATCTCCGAAAAAGCTTTCCAAACAGTACATAAAGCTGTCTTTCGGTTCCAAAATTTAAAAATCAATGCATCCTAAATGAATGGGTTTCTGAGTAAATCACCTTTCACCAAACACGACATTTCAAGAAGCCTCAGCACATTTGCATAAGAAAGTTGTAAAAAGCCTCAAGCCAAACACCACCCTAGAGTTTGGCAAGGGAATGGCAGTGATTCATGCTACCAAGCTGTCCATGGATTGGGCTGCTACAACGTGTATCGTTTTCCTTATAAAATAACTAAACATAAGAAAATTTATGTCGTCCCCCTATAAAATTTATGTATCAACCTGTCCCCAGTTTCGCTTTTTTCCCCTTCCACTGATGAATTTGTTTGAATTGTTACGAAAATCCACATTTTGACTTTCATTACAAGACAGACAAATTATTAACCAATCACGGACACGTTTGCGTGTACAATATGCTAAATATATTGTAATTTTTTCGGTGATAACTTATGAAACATTAACTATTATGTCAATGGTAAAAGTTCCTAAAATTTGAAATAATAAAAATTAATTAGTATTAAATATCGATTAGGTCAATAAAAAAATTATTCTCCTTAACAAGAGATTTTAAATTCGAACTATGTAAATAGAAAAAATAAATATTGGGAATTCCAATCAACCGATGGAGAATTAAAAAAAGAAAAGAATAATTAATTATCAGCACCATATATAAACTAATAAAGGGGTCGTTTTTTTGGACCGTATAGTCAGAAGTCAGAGGCTAATTAATCACAATTAAAATTTCGGGTTAATTAGCTCATAACAGGATATTATTGACCGACAGTAGTTTTTTATTCAATGTGAATAATCACGATGGCAAAGTCAAATATACATATTTAATTTTATAAAAAAATTTGTTCTCCTAATGTGACGAAAATTCAAATGCCTTATGTCATAACCTCATTCCGTTATTATAATTACAACACTAAACGCGTAATGGTGGAAACATCAAGTCTCAGGGAGTTTCTATATATATAGGATAGATCTTTTGCTTCGAGGCAACACATTACACAGAGATTTCGTAATTTATTTTATTAATTAAACTGCGATCATCACGTCCTTTAACATGAAACATTTTGCGTTTTCTCTAGCGTGGTCTTTTGCTCTTCTGCTAACTTCTTCCTTGACGTCTGCTGCTGTTGTGGAACACACTTTTAATGTATGGGCTCGTTTATTCTTCTCCCTTTGTTTCTTTAGAGATGAAGATTTATATTGATTTCCACGTACATAAAAAGTTAGCCTTGCTGTTTATGTATATTGCATGACATTCATTGGAATTTTATTTATTGCAGGTTGGTAACTTAACTGTGCAGCGCTTGTGTGATCAACATGTGATCACTGCAGTTAATGGAAGCCTGCCTGGACCAACTATTAATGTTCAAGAGGGTGACACTCTTGTCGTCCATGTATTGAACAACTCACCCTACAATCTTACCGTTCATTGGTAAACTTTTCCGCATCATTTCTCAATCAAATCAATTCATATATAAGGATAGGTTATTCTATCTATTTTTTTTTTCATGCCTACAAATTTTCAACACCGTTAGATCAGAATCTCAAATGAAGAAAAATAGTAAAGGTTAGTTGAAATTCTAATTTAATGGTGTTGGAAAGTGGTAGACAAAATAAGTATGAAAATAAAGTAGGGAGAATAACTTTTATATATATATATATATATATATATATATATATATATATATATAGCTTATTCTTACGCCTGTATAAAAATAATAAGTCTTACCAAATTCTTACCATTAATTTGTCTATATTTCACGGCTCACATATATAGTAAATTAGAGTCATTAAATATAAATAAGATCAATGTCCAACATTGATTCGGATGTAACTTATATGCAAATATGTAACTTAGATATAAATCAAAGAGGTGCATACGAAAGTGCAATGGTGAGAGTGGACAAACCGTCCTCTCTATACTTACAAATGTAATTTATATAGTTAGTCGAGGGATATTTTAAAAGGGTGTGTTACTTTGGTGGTGTCCAGGACCCTTAGTGCCTATAGATCCCGGTAAAAAGGATATATTATCGTGTAGTGAAATGAATGATTGGAGACATTGACCGTATTGTCCTTTTTTGAATATAATATATCTCAATTAATGTTACTGAGTCGAAAAAAATTTTCAAACTGTCACGACACTATAGTCGTTGAGATAGCCAGTTACTATGGGCTGGATACGTGTCACGTCCTCAGTGGCTGGACACGCAACTCATTTAACCAAAAGTCGTTGAGGTAGTCAGCTACTTTGATGCAACCAGGCCTTCTAACCGCTGGGGAAATGACACATGTCCCGACTATAGTAGCTGACTACCTCAGCGACTATGGTATTGTGGCAATTTGAAAATATTTTTTTCATGACATTCAAGTATATTATATTAAAAAATACGGCAGTTTGACAATGTCCCGAATGATTGAGCTCCATGGTAAGTCCAGGGAAAAGGGTTCAGAATAATTTCTAAGTCAAGTTTTTATTATACTTTTTTAAATGAAAAAAAAAAACTGCTATTAAGATAGATTTTTTTTCTTCGCACCTGTATCGTGATACTTCTTCTAGTAATGTGAAAACTTATTTCACGTTTAGCTATTACTTGTATTCAATAATCCAAAAATGAGACTTTCACGTTTCTTCTAAATATCATCTTTGAATGTGTAAATTTTCTACGTAGAAACGTATCCAACATATCTGTCTTTTTTTTTCTTCTTTTTGACTAACCATAACAAATGATTAAATGTGGAAACAACTATGAAGTTACTTTCACATCATCATTATTATTATTATTTTAGTTACTTTCACATCTATTATTTTATATATCATTTGTAACTAAATTTAGGTATCTTTTACGGTATATTACGCAGGCATGGAATTTTTCAACTTTTAAGCGGATGGTCAGACGGTCCTGAATATGTAACTCAATGTCCAATACCCTCTGGTGGGAATTTTACCTATAACTTTACCATAACAGGACAAGAAGGTACCCTTTGGTGGCATGCTCACTCATCTTTTCTACGTGCAACCGTCCATGGAGCCCTCATTATTCGCCCTCAAGAAGGAAACTCATACCCATTCCCTTCGGTCAACCAAGAAGTCCCCATATTGCTTGGTACTAATCTTTTTTGTTTTTCTATTCCCTCGAATAAGCAAGTGATTTGACTATTTAAATCAATGTTTTAAATGAAAAGAAGAATGTATATCTAGTTGTAATTTATAGTATCAATGTCATCAACTAACTAACCATCTATAAAAATTTAGCTATTTAGTTTAAGATACATGAATAATTTTATATTTTTTTTATGTCTTTAACATGTCCACTAAGAGTTTTCTTAATGTATAAATTTATTTACCCTGATGCCTAAAGTTAATATTTTATTGAAAAAATAAAACAATAAAGATAAAATTTTAAAAACAATTATTATAAAGATTGTGATACAATTAATATCATATATTAACTGCTTCAAAAAACTTAAGTGATCGAAGGAATACAGATAAATAATTTTATATTTTTATTGAGCCTCTAATTAGTATTAAGTTAAAATTTTCTAAATACATTTGATAATTAATTGCAGGGGAGTGGTGGAATGCCAACGTTATTGATGTTGAGAATAATGCAACAGCAACTGGCGCTGCTCCAGCCCTGTCAGATGCTTTCACAATTAATGGCTTTCCAGGCGATACCTACAATTGCTCTCAAAATCGTAAGTTAACTGTTTTAACATAACCATAAATTTTCATATATATGCAAACGAAGTTTAGTTCATACATTTAAATATTTTCAACACTCGAAGATCTAATTTTCTTCAAATTTTAATTGTCCCCCATGTAATATTTGACCATGTGTAATGTGAAAATTCAAATGTATTATTCAAATATAAATGCATCTCATTATATGTATATATATATATATATGAATCATTTTACACCTGTATAAGTTACATTTTCAATCTTAAATATCATTGATTTTACTTATATTTAATTGCAAGTTATGTGAACCATTGAATACAAGTGAATTATCAATGACAAAAAATAAATATAAAACTCTTATTCTTACTAGAAGATTTTCTCGTCATTTGATTCATTTATAACTAAAGACTCACTTAACTTAAAAATTAGACTCGTTAAATATAAGTGAAATCTACAATTAAGATTAAGAATATAACATACATTTTATTATAAAATTCTAATAATAACATGGAGATCACCTAAGTATTTTTCCCACCTGAAACGGTTTTATCTCTAATTTCGACTTTGATGTAATTTCAGAGACATACCAACTCAATGTGAATCAAGGAGAAACCTACTTGTTGCGAATAATCAATGCTGCACTCAATGAGCAACACTTCTTCAAGATAGCCAACCACACTTTCACAGTGGTAGCAATCGATGCCACATATACCCAATCCTATGAAACGGACGTTATCGTGATAGCACCAGGCCAAACCGTTGATGCAATCCTAAGCACAAACCAAACCGTGGGTTCATATTACATGGCCTTCACACCATACCATTCAGCCCCAAACGTTGGAATCAACAACTCAACCACTAGAGGAGTGTTAATTTACAATGGTACCTCATCAGCATCACCACCCATAATGCCAGACCTACCAGATCAATCTGACACACCAACAGCACACAAGTTCTACACAAACATAACAGGATTGGTTAGTGGTCCCCACTGGGTCCCTGTTCCTCGTAACGTGGATGAAAACATGTTCATCACTTTTGGTATTAACCTTGACCAATGTAACCTTCCAGGCCCAAACAACACATGTGGTGGCCCTAATGGTAACAGACTTTCTGCCAGCATGAACAATGAGTCCTTTGTGTTACCCAGTGGGAGAGAGTTTTCTATGTTGGAAGCATTTTACAACAACGTTAGTGGGGTTTACACCAAAGACTTTCCAGATCAGCCTCCGTTTGTGTTTGATTATACTAGTAATAATTTGAGTTTGTCAATTGCATTTGCACCCAAATCAACCAAGGTGAAGACTTTGAAATTCAATTCAACGGTACAGATTGTGCTTCAAAATAATGCTATCCTTGCTGCGGAGAACCATCCCATGCACATCCATAGTTTCAATTTCCATGTTTTGGCTCAAGGGTTTGGGAATTATAACTCCACCATTGATGAACCAAAGTTTAATTTTGATAACCCTCAAATGCGTAACACAATTGCTGTGCCAGTGGGAGGATGGGCTGTCGTCAGATTCCGAGCAGATAATCCAGGTTGGTTTCTTCAGCTAATTAAATTGATTTTTTTAAGGGACTTAATCAAAAAAAATTTGGGTTCAATGTGTTTCTCCAAGAGAATAAAGTTATTTCCTATAATTCAAAATAATTTTGTTTTAGGATTTTTATAAAATACAGGTATTTTGGTTAAATTCATATCATAAAAGAGAAATGAAATTCTCAAAATGCCTTATATTTTTTTTCCTAAACTCTAAATATCATTATTGGTTCTAGGAAATAAATGCTTTTGTGGTTAATTTTGGGTTACAAGAGATAACTTTTTCTACAAAAGAAATATTTTCTCCCTTAACTTTTAGAGATTAACGTTTCTCCTACAAAGATAAAGTTATCTCCGCGGACCTAAAAAGATGTCATTTTCGGGTGTGAGAAAAAAATGCAAGGTATTTTATGAAAATATATTATACAAAAAGAAAGTAAAATTAATAAAATACCCTACATTTTTTTCCCCTAAATCCCCAAAACAAAGTTGTTTTGAATTGTTGGAAATAATTTTATCTCTTATTGCAGGGAAACATTTTTTCCTAAATTTTATTATGTGGGTCTTGGATTATAATAACCAATTTTGAATTTAATTTCTTCTACCTTTTTAAACACTACGCAGGTATATGGCTTGTGCATTGTCATTTAGACACTCATTTGCCATGGGGGCTAGCCATGGCTTTTGAGGTTGAGAATGGACCTACTCCTTCATCCACACTGCCTTCGCCACCAGCTGATATGCCTAAGTGCTAAGTGAAAAGCTTACCAATACAATCATACCTTACAAATTTCAAAATAAATCACGAAGATTCGCTGATATTTATCCACTTTCTACTATTTGATTATGCGAATTCATATTTCAATTTGTTTGATTGGGAAAAAGAAAGTGTAATAATGGGCGAAGGGTTATTTTCAACCACGTAATTACTTGATGATGCTAAGTTCATGCACCCTGGGAAATATGATGATAATATTTTTATCCATTATGTTTCGTCTTCTGCTTTTTCCCAATATTCAATATAGTCGTCCCTTATATAACTAGTATATATGTGAGAACCAATAATGAAGAAAAGTACATGTGACACATGCACATGCAAATTACTTTGGGAAGTGAATTTTTGAGGCATACGTACGAGTAAATTGAATTAACCAAAGTCTATTTCAACATATGCGTGAGGTATACTCAAATATATAAATTTAAATTTTATTACAATTAGTCAAGACGCAATATTAGAATGGAACATATATGGTAAACGCTAAGGGTCAATAACTCTATATTAATTAACATTATATACCCAAAAAAAATTATGAATACACAATCTAGACATTTTCAAACTGTAATTTGCCTCTCACTTTCCTAGAATTTTCCGTCACTGCATATTCCTATCAATCGTCTCTTAGTTATGTGTCTTGGGTCTTAGAATGGGATCTAGTTCTTGTAGCCTACTCCTTTTTTTTAGTCTGAACAAAAATAGTTGAAAATTACATTTGACAAAATTAATTTATTTTTTTATTCCAGAAAATAAAATGATATCTCGAGAACAAAAATTCAAAAATAAATATATTTTTTTTGTTTATTTATTCTTGGAACACTATTTTATTTGATACACACATCGTGGAATGCGTTATTATTGAAACAAATAAAACTCTTTCTCTGTGAATAAAAATAAATTATGTTGTCAAATATTTTTATGTTAATAAACTCTTCCGAAGCATAAAAAAAAAAATCATTTCTCTCCAAAATCATGATAAAATGAATAAGTTAGATTTTATTGCGGGCCTTTCAACCTTATTAATTTATGCCAAGCCCAAATTCCAGTGAAACCCATTCTTCTCCCGCCCTGTATGTTAATGGGTATTGCGTTGTAGACTCTTTATTCTTCATTCACTCCGATCCCACTCAAACTTGGCATCTGCCTTGGCAGCAAAAACGGGCTAAAATACTAAAGCTTCACACTCCTTCAAACCAGTGCATATTTGGAATTTATGTGTTTTTTAATTAATTTTTTCAAAAAATTATTAATAAGATTTAGATTATAAATTATTTTAAACATAAAATAAACCAATTCAAACATATTTATACTCTCCTCATTAAGTGAGTTTAATGCTTTTGCTTTGTTTGCATCTCTTATTTTATTTTATTTAAAAAATTATTTTATTTTATTTAAAAAAATAGAGTAAATTGACGAATTCATCTGTTTAACCAATAATTGTAAATGATCAATTAAGATTTCCAATTAGTTGAGTTGGTTTCTATACTTTTTTGAAATGTTTAAATAAGCTTACATATTCTAAAAATTCGTGCTAATGTTAAAAAAATTTAATTGAGCCCCTACCGTCAAAACTTTATATATATGCTTTATTTAACATGCTGAATTTAGAAGAAAATAATTAAAAACAGGCTGTTGCAAATATTATTATAATATGTAAACTATGATTTAAGGTCAACTGGTCAAATTTTGCCTTCTTAATTTTTAATTTTTTTTATCAATCTACGACATATTACAAATTATTGTTTGATCAAAGTTGATCAAATGAAACTTACCTTAAAATAAGTATTAAATTCACTAAATTGATCAAATTGTATTAAATTAATATTAAATTAAAAAATGAATCCCTATGCTATTCGGTGCATTTTTGTACGGTATGAAGTCCATTAAAAAGGCTATCGCTGCTACAACCCTAACACATGACGTTTCTATGTGACAATGGATGTTTTTGTTGTGGAAGGTGAAAAAATTTTCACGCCTACTAATTCTACCTTTCAGGGGAGACAACGAGTGAAAGGGTGAATTGGTGGGACAAGGTGAAATTATTTTGAAAATAATAAAAACAAATGAAGTCGCCACCAATTTTTTTTAATTAAAAAAATTGAAAAATCTTTCGTTGTAAACTGATCTTTGAATCAAGGTTTGGGAGTCTGATTATGCACAGAGAAGGTTGGAAACTCAACCCTACTGCACTCCTGACACATCCGTTTTAAAAATGGGTTACCTTAAATTAGTTGTGCAAATTTTTAAAATTTTTAAAATATTTGTTTAACCCAAATAAAGCAAGATGTTAAAATTATTTACAAGAAAAGAAAACAAAATTTTAAAATTTTTACTTTTAGCTTGACGAAAAAATTCTGCTCCTCCGACGTATCCTCCAGTGCAATGAGAAACTCAAAACTACGTCTTTCTTTTAAAAAAATTTGTTTAGTTGATTTTTATTAAAAAAAATTCAAAAGAAAAAAAATCATTTACCCTTTTCTTTTTTTTGAAATAATCCCTCATCGCATAGAGCTTAAGATAGCATAGTTATACGTAAGCTCTAACGAGAATTATAAGACTTGAGGTGATGAGTCACACATCAACGTCGTACATCGTTGCTAGGATATTGAAAATATTTATTTATTATTATTATTTTAAATAACTCCACATTACACAAGATATAAGATAGCATGGTTATACGTATATCCATATGATATATAAAATGCTTGAGGATGGAAAGACCATACAACAACATGACAAATCATTGTGTGGTTTAAAAAAGAAGAAGGAATGTACCAAAAAGAAGAGGAAGGAAATATTGGATAATTACAATTCAAACTCTAATTTTGATCAATTTTGTAAATATTTTATTTTTAAAATTTATCTACATTGCATGAGGTTTAAGATAGCTTAGCCATACGTAAACTCTTATGACATGTACAACACTTGAGAATGGACAACCATATAACAATGTTGTAAGCCATTATGTAAGGGAATTTTACAATGAAGTACATTAAAACAATGCATGAATATTTATATAATATTTTATAAGATAACAACAACGGTGATCATAATAGCTTACAAAAAATATTTACAATAATAAGCATTAACATAAAAATTTATTGTAATTCTTTTTTTTTTTAGAATTTAAAACACATGAAGTAAATAAAAAATGGAAAAAAAAACTTGAATTAATATCTTACGATACTTAATCTGTAAATTTTACTATTTGGAATAGCTTAAATAACAAGTATATGTATATATAAAAAGGGAACAACCTATTTTTTTATTAACAAAAAGGGCGGTGTTCTATATAAAAAGTGATCTTAAACATTGCAACAATAATAATAAAAACAGAGTTATGATCCTCACTTGTACACGCCTTTTGTCAAATCAAAAAAACCAAAATGGAGCTCTCTTTAAATCCCAAAGTTCCATCTAAGACAAAAATGATGAATAAAAAAATAGATCATGACACCAACACTTTTCACTAAGTCATATGGTCGAACAGTTTGAGTGCAACCCATTACTATTTGACTATTAACGGTCCAAGTTGTTTATAAGCCAAGAATTTTTATTACAGGAATCTTATCTTAAGGAATCCCACACATTTCAGAAAAAGAAAATAAGATTCAAGTCACAAAATCATCATTTCCCCTCATCAAAACTGTTGGGCTTCCTCCTTCAATGCTAAGCCCAAGCCCATTGAGGAGTTTTCTAAAAACTCTAACCCTAGATCTCACCTCCTCTATATATTCATTAGTTGTGGGTGGAGGCTAGGTTAAGAGATTAGAGAGAAAATTTGAGAGAATTATTTGATTGTTTGAACAAAGATTATGCTTTTGTATTTGAGAGATCTCTAGAGAGAGTTTGAGTGAAACATCTCTAGGGAGGTTTGATTATCACCATTGTTGGAGAGGTTGAGTTAACCACCACATTGGTGATTCTAATTATTTGTAACTATTATTTTCATAGTGGATTTTTGATCTCGACTAGGTGCCACTACTAAAAAAGTTTATTTTTTCGACGGAAAAATTCCGTGGAATTTTCGATGGAATTCAAGCCGTGGAATTTACTTCGTTGATAACCCTTTTTTCGACGGAATTAAAGATTCCGTAGAAAATTTTTGACGGAAATAAATTCCGTGGAAAATTTTCGACGAAAAATCAATGGAATTTCGTCGAGAATTGTTAGGATGGTTTTCGACGGAAAACGGATTCCGTTGAAAATTTTAGTCGGAAAATCAATGAAATTTCGTCGAAAATTGTTGTGATGGTTTTCGACGGAAAACGGATCCGTCAAAAAATTTCGACGGAAAATCAATGCAATTTCGTTGAAAATTGTTGTAATGATTTTCGACGGAAAATCAATGAATTTCCGTCAAAAACATATGTAAAGATTTTTGACGGAATACAAATTTCGTAGAAAAATTTTAGAGTTTTTTTTTTTAAATTTCTCTCTACAAATTTAATACCAATTTTTGTACTGCACCTGATAAAAAATATAATCAAAGTAAACAATATATCAAAATGGAATCTCCTTAATCAATACATTGAACGCGCAAAAGTCTATATCATATATTAGGCTAAGTATTCAAAAAGACTTATACAATTAGCGAGCGATGTACAATAAGTATATATTGTAACATGTACTAAAATCTAAGAGTGATAAGTTTTATATCAATACACAATCCTTCTATTCCAACACATACAATATTCAACTTCACCATGTATTAAAACCTAAGAGTGATAAGTTTTGAAGACTTAGGATCAGAAGCAACGTCTTCATACACATGAATAATGATTTTAAGTGGATGAACTTGAAATATTCCTCCATGGTCAAGGCTCTCCTTGACTTGAACCCTCCTTGGCTTTTTTTTCCATCTCTGAACATTTTTTTCTTCATTAGGAGCATCATCTTCTAATTTGAAATTGTCCATGGTAAGTTCCTGATTAATAAAACCACATCATAATGAGTCCCTAAATATTCTAATTTTTATGAAAATAACATAATTGTAATTCTATATTAAAATATTCAAATGCTAAAGCAATTCCAAAGCCACGAGGTACATGCATAGAAAGATTGCAAACAATGACATTAAACAACTTAGTGGTGCATGAGTAATTCTTTTTAGTGCTGTTATTATCCCTATGTTTTGTTGTTACCTATAGAATATAGATGGCAGTGGAGGATGAGAATTGGTAAAACGTAATGTACTATATGTACTAAATGGATTGAAATTTTGCACAAGCCTGATTTCTTTTTATGCAAGGTAGTTTATTGGACTAGCGAACAAATAAGTGAAAGGCACCATTTTACGAGAGTTTCTTCTATTATTTAAATTTTTTTATCTCTCTAGATATTTGGGTCATTGGAGTTATTTATACATGGAAGGTCTTTAAAAATGAATTAATCAAACTCATATTATTGAAAGTAATTTTATCTCTTATATATAAATAAAGGTATGTGAGGTTCATATACGATCATGTGAAGAAAAAAGAGAGAAAAATAAAACATGAACCTCACAAATTTTTATGTATATATAAGTTAAGATTATCTCTTATAATATAAGAAATATTAATTTTTTAAAAAAGATATGTTAACATTTCACGTGTTAGTGGTGACTCAATTCAGTTTTTTTCTAGTAGAGTCAACTCAGTTTAACCCTAGGTGTAAATAGACCAGACTCATAGATTCACGTTTAAACAGGAAATCATGCATTTATGTATACATAAGAGACCAGCCATCTAATACTTACCTTGTTCTTAGCTCAATCGAACAACAAAATCTTCAGCTCTTCCTAGTACTTCCCTTCTCCAAGCTTGGTAAATGTCACAGAGCTGCATTAATCAGGGAAATGCTAACAGGTAAATATATTAAATCCTCGGGCATAAGGAATTGTAAATTTATAATGCACTATTAATTAACAAGAAAATTCATCAACAGCTTGTAAAAACCAAAAGATTACTTCTAGAAATATATGAAGAGAAATTGAACCAAGCCAAGTAATCAACATTTTGCACAGATTATCGTCAAAGACATTACTTGTCACTGACATTCAATGCACAAACTTGATATTAATCGCGCTGAAGCTACCGATCCTATGTAAAGGTAATAATCTTCCCATGACCTATCATTGTCACATTCACATTGGTGAAAGCAAACACACAATTAGTGTGAATTACATGACTATACGTTAAATTTGAGAGAGAGGGGGAAAAAAAAGAAATATCTCGTTTGACGAAAAATTTTCCGTAGAAAATTTTTGACGGAATCTATTTTTCGTCGAAATTTTCGACAGAAAACAGATTCCGTGGAAAATTCCGTCAATAATTTCAACGGAATTTTTTTCCGTCGAAAATAAATACATTTCTAGTAGTGTCCCGTAGGTTTTTACTTCTTCATTGAAGATGGTTTTCCCACGTTAAATCTGGTTGTGTTCTTCTTCTCTCTCTCCTGTTTTGTGTTTTCGTTTTGATTTTTCCACTGCGCTGCCTGACCTGGTGAAGTTCAGGCCGAGGTATTGCCGAGATCCGAGATCAGGATCTTGTTGATTGGCTTCCGCACAAAGGCTGCTTAGCCGAGCTTGAGGGAACTGATTTTTCCCAACAGTGGTATCAGAGCCGGAGTTCGACTGGTTCTGAAAAAGACGAGATGGAGACCAGTGGCATAACCAATGATGGAGACATGTTCAAGTTGACCGCAGATAATTTCACCTATTGGAGACCGATGATGGAAGATCATCTCTACTGCAAAGATCTACATGATCCCATTACCCTTGATGAGAGACCGGCAGGCAAGACCGATAAGGAGTGAAAGATCCTGAGTCGGAAGGCGGTAGCCACGATCAGGAAATATATTGATAAAAGCCTCTTTGAGCACGTGTCCGAGTTCACGAACGCGTATGAGTTGTGGACGAAGCTGGAGTCCATGATTCAAAAGAAAACTCCCATGAATAAAGCATACCTGGTTCGCCGACTTGTGAAGCTTGAATACAAAGGACGACATGAGCATGATTGAACACCTCAACACCTATAAAGGTATTGTGAATCAACTGTCAAAAGCTGAGATGAAAATTGATAATGAGATGCAGGCTTTGCTGCTGTTGAGCTCGCTGCCAAAAAGCTGGGATACTCTAGTGGTGACTTTGAGTAATTCAGCTCCAGAAGGAAAGTTGAAGATGGATGTCGTGACAGACAGTCTCCTGGGCGAAGAAATCAGGAGAAGAGAACGAGGTGTTTCGAGCACGTCTGAGGCCAACGTTGCTGAGAACAAAGGAAAATTCGACTCCCGGGGTAGAAGCAAAAGCCGGGATCGAGATCGTGACAGAAGAGGAAAGTACAGAGGTCGGTCAAAGCCGAAATATGAGTTGAAGTGCTTTTACTGTGGAAAGACAGGCCATAAGAAGCCAGACTGCTGAACCCTGCAGAATGATGAGAAGAACGACTCTGTGAAGCCGGATCAGATTATTCCCAAGAAGAGGGAAGACAAGAGCACCACTGCTAGGGGTGTGCAAAAAAACTGGTTCACTTGCCCTGCCCTTGATCCGACCTTGACCCGACCCATAAATACCCATATTTTTTGAACTGGTTTACATACTGACCCACTTTTATTTGGGTCAGTTTTAGACCTGACTCGTTTTAATATTGACCCATTGACCCAAAACTTGACTCATACCCATTATGTGAATTTTTTTTTTCACAATTACATTAAAAGAAAAGTTTTAACGTAAAACAATTATGTCAAAATTTCAAATGAAACATTTTCCTCAAAACAATTTCCATTGAAAATTTCGACGAAACATATTTTCATCAAAAAATTTCGACGGCAAAAAATTTCATTAAAATTCTTTACAGATTTCAAATTTCGGCGAAAGTTTTCGACGGAAATAATTTCGTCAGCAAAAAATTTTGATGGCAAAAAATTTTGACGGCAAAAAATTTAATCAAAATTCTTTATAGATTTCAAATTTTGGCGAAAGTTTTCGACGGAAACATTTTGGACATCAAAAAATTTTGACGACAAAAAATTTCATCAAAATTCTTTACATATTTCAAATTTCGGCAAAAGTTTTCGACGGAAATATTTTCGTCATCAAAAAATTTTGACGGCAAAAAATTTCGACTGCAAAATAATTCATCAAAATTCTTTACACATTTCAAATTTCGGCAAAAGTTTTCGACGAAAATATTTTCGTTAAATTTTTGGACAAAAAAAAATTTTCGTCGAAATTTTTAGCGAAATACATTTCCATCGAAAATTTTCAACTAAATATTTTCGTCAAGTTTTTTGATAAAAAATTTCCATCAAAATTTTCAACGAAACACATTTCTATAAAAAATTCCGTAAATTTTTTTGACAAAAAAAACCTTTTGACGAAAAAAATATTCTGTCAAAATTCTTTAGAGAATCTAAATTTCGTCGAAAGTTTCAAATGAAACATTTCCCTCGAAATAATTTTCGTCAGAACACATTCCCATCGAAATTTTGAACGAAAAATATTCCGTCTAATTTTTTGACAAAATTCTATTTTCGTTTAAAACATTAGATGGAAGAAATCATTTTCGTCAAAACTGTTGACGGAAACTAAATTTCAATAGAAAAAATTTTTTTTGTAAAAATTTCGACGAAAAAATAATTTTGTGACGAAATTTTCGTCTTTTGCAACGTAAAAATTTCGACAAAATTTTGTGAGAAAACCAAGTCAAAAACGGGTCAGGTCAGATTTGACCCAGTTCAGAAACCAAGTCAGACCCACTTCAGAAACCAAGTCAGGTCAGATCCAAACTGGTTCTGAACTAGTTCAACAAAATTCAATCCAAGTCAGACCTGACTTGGATCAAATTAAAACGGGTCGGGTCAAAATACCTGACCTATAAAAACCAAGTTGGGTCGAGTCGGACAAAAACCGGACCCGACCTGACCCATGCACAGCCCTAACCACTGCGGTGGCTGCCAACCCGGATGTCGAGATATTCCTCCTTGGTGAGGATAATTATTTGAATGTTACATATGATGACTGCACCTGGATTGTTGACTCCGGTGCCTCATTCCACGTTACTCCACACAAAGGATTTTTCTCTTCTTACCGAGGTGGTGATTTTGGAGTCGTGAAGATGGGAAATCAAGTGACCAGCAAGATTATTGGTGTCGGTGATGTAACTCTGACCACGGATGTCAGATGCCGACTTGTGTTGAAAGATGTAAGGCATGTTCCTGACATGCGTTTGAACCTAATCTCGATAGGTAAACTTGATGATGTCGGGTAAGTAAACTACTTCGGCAGTGTTAGATGGAAGCTAGCCAAGGGAAACTTGATCGTGGCCCGAGGTAAGAAGGAAGGGTCCTTGTACGTGATGCAAGGAAAGATCAATGGCGGAGAAGCCAATTCTGTCCGAGATGAACCTAGCTTGGAGCTATGGCACAAGCGCCTCGGCCACATGAGCGAGAAAGGGCTCCAGATCCTGAACAAAAAGGGATTACTGACCGGGTTGAAAGGCTAAGCGTTGGAGAGTTGCACGCACTGCCTAGCTGGAAAACAGCACCGGGTTTCTTTTGTGAGACCGGATCAACCCAGACGATGCAGGTATATTCTTGACCTCGTCCATATTGATGTCTGCTCCATGTAGGAAAGATCCCTTGGAGGAGCTCAGTACTTTGTTTCATTCATTGATCACCACTCCCGCAAAGTGTGGGTATATTTGTTGAAGTCTAAAGACTAGGTACTCCAATCCTTTAAAGAATTCCATGCAATGGTTGAAAGGGAGACTGGCAAGAAACTGAAGGTGGTCCGATCTGATAATGGTGGTGAGTATTGCGGCCCATTTGATGCATACTGCAGAGCGGCCGGGATTCGACTTGAGAAGACGCCCCCCCCCCCAAGACTCCACAGTTGAATGGACTTGCTGAGAGGATGAATAGAACTATTGAAGAGAAGGTCCGAAGTATGTTGTCCAATGTCGGATTGTCGAAATCATTCTGGGGAGAAACCGTCAAAACAGTTGTTGACTTGATCAACCTCTCACCATCACAGCCACTTGAAGGAGAAATTCCAGAAGAAGTCTGGACAGGTCAGAAAGCGGCCTACAATCAATTGAAGGTGTTTGGATGCCGAGCTTTCGTGCATATCTCTAAAGATGAAAGGGCAAAACTCGATGCGAAGACAAAAGAATGCATCTATCTTGGTTCGCCGAGATGTGAGTTCGGGTTCCGACTTTGGGATCCAATCAATAAGAAGATAGTGAGAAGCCGAGATGTGATCTTTCATAAGCATGAGAACATTCATGACATCTCGAAGCCCAAAGTTCGGGTTACTGTCAGACGTGAAGAACCCGTTCCTCCTGTCCGAGCTGAAGCAGGGGGAGAAAATCAAGAGAATGAAGGAATTGATGATCAACAACAAGCTGAAGATGAACAAGACACTGAGGTCCGAGTTGATGATGAGATCCGGGATGAGAATGATGAACCGGGTTCTCAAGCTGAAGAACAGGCGAGATATCCAACTCGTGAAAGAAGACCCTCTACGAGATACCCATCTGATGAATACACCGTTGTTGCTGAAGATAATGAGCCTCAGAGTTATGATGAGGCTGTGACGAGCTCAGAGAAAGAAGAATGGGAAAAGGCAATGCAAGACGAGATGAAGTCTCTGCACGAGAATCAGAATTATGAGCTGACCGAGTTGCCAGAAGGAAGATGAGCTTTGAAAAATAAATGGGTCTACAAGATTAAGAATGAAGAGAACGGGCAGAAACCGAGATATAAAGCCCGGATTGTAGTGAAAGGCTGCAATCAAAAGAAAGGAGTTGATTTTGAGGAGATTTTTTCTCCTGTGGTGAAAATGACCTCGGTCCGAACCATGTTAGCCATGGCGGCTTCGATGGACCTCGAGGTAGAACAAATGGACGTGAAGACGACATTTCTTCACGGTGACTTAGAAGAAGAAATATATATGGAGCAACCTGAAGGATTCCAAGCTCCAGACCAAGAAGACTTGGTATGTCGGTTGAAGAAGAGCCTCTATGGCTTGAAGCAAGCACCTCGGCAGTGGTACAAGAAGTTTGAATCATTCATGACTGATCATAAGTTTGAAAAGACAGAAGCCGACCACTGCGTATTTGTGAAGATGTATGAGGCCGGAGATTTTTTGATCTTGTTGTTATATATTGACGACATGCTTATTGTAGGGAAAGACAAATCGAGGATAGCCGCCCTGAAAAAGGCGTTGAGCTCGTCCTACGCAATGAAGGACCTCGGCCCTGCAAAGCAGATTCTCGGAATCAAGATCATCCGAGATAGACAAAAGAAGCTACTGTGGCTGAGTCAAGAGAAATATATTGAGAAGATTCTGAAGAGATTCAGCATGGACAAAGCCAAAACAATGAGCACCCCCCTTGCCGGATACATAAAGCTGAACCAGAAGCAATGTCCGAGATCTAATGAAGACAAAGATGAGATGATGAAGGTCCCTTACCAATCCGCCGTCGGAAGCTTGATGTATGCAATGGTTTACACTAGACCCGACTTGGCGTATGCTGTTGGAATGGTAAGCCGGTATTTGTCAAACCCCGGCAAAGAGCACTGGGAAGCAGTGAAGTGGATCTTCAAGTACCTTCGAGGTACGACCAACTTATTCCTCCGATTTGGAGAAGGAAAAGCCGAGTTGCAAGGCTACTCGGATTCTGATTTAGGGGGAGACGCCGACTCAAGAAAGTCGACTACAGGATATTTGATGAGATTTGCTGGAGGAGCTGTCTCTTGGCAATCAAGACTTCAGAAATGTGTTGCACTATCGACAACTGAGGCTGAGTACATTGCCGCTACTGAGGCAAGCAAAGAGATGCTGTGGATGAAGAAGTTCCTCATGAAACTCGGCCATGATCAAGACAAGTACGAGCTAGGTTGTGACAATCAAAGTGCAATCCATCTTGCGAAGAATTCAACCTATCACTCCCGCACTAAGCATATTGATGTGAGGTATCACTGGATCCGGGATATGGTGGAAGGTGGAGAGCTCAAACTCGTCAAGGTGCACAATGATCAAAATTGGTCCGACATGATGACAAAGCCGGTTCCAGCAAGAATATTTGAAGACTGCTGTGAAGGAGCCGGGTTGATGCTGAAGCCGACGCATTGAAGTAAGAGGGGGAGATTTGTTGGGCTTTCTCTTTCAATGCTAAGCCCAAGCCCATTGAGGGGTTTCCTAAAAACCCTAACCCTAGATCTCACCTCCTCTATATATTCATTAGTTGTGGGTGGAGGCTAGGTTAAGAGATTAGAGAGAAAATTTGAGAGAATTATTTGATTGTTTGAGCAAAGCTTTATGCTTTGTATTTGAGAGATCTCTAGAGAGAGTTTGAGTGAAACATCTCTAGGGAGGTTTGATTATCACCATTGTTGGAGAGGTTGAGTTAACCACCACATTGGTGATTCAGATTATTTGTAACCATTATTTTCATAGTGGATTTTTGATCTGGACTAGGTCCCGTGGGTTTTTACTTCTTCATTGAAGAAGGTTTTCTCACGTTAAATCTGGTTGTGTTCTTCTTGTCTCTCTCTCCTATTTTGTGTTTTCGTTTTGATTTTTCCGCTGCGCTGCCTGACCTGGTGAAGTTCAGGCCGATGTATTGCCGAGATCCAAGATCAGGATCTTGTTGATTGACTTTCGTACAAAGGCTGCTTAGCCGAGCTTGAGGGAACCGATTTTTCCCAACAAAAACTTCATTTCTTTTGCTTCATAAAAAGAATCCTAACTTACATATACCAATTAAAAAACCTTCATAACACTCAACACAAAACAATTCAATAAATAAATCTACGAGAACACCATCAGATACCACAAAAGTTAACAAAAGAGAGCAATGAAACATTGATCTATACATGCTAAAACAGAGATTTACAAAAAAAAAAAAAACAAATCCTTAAGCCACTTTCAAACGATTTCTTAAACCACTCACAAAATATGCTTTGATAATCCCAAAACAAATCTGCACTAAAGACAACAAGTTAGGCATAGATCTGCTGGACTCAAAAAATAACTTTGACATTCACGTGCATTCAACTTAGTTCATTCATATAGAGATGCTATGGAATGTGCAATGTTGTAAAGGTAAGAAAATAGAGACTGGGTTTTAACGAAACAACTTATATCTTTCACCTAAGAATAAGCAATTACATATATCCTAAACTAGCATTCATTTCTCTATGAAAGAACTACTTAATCATTTTGTCATACAGTTTGTCTACAAGTGAAATAAAAACTAAACAAAATGGTCAAAACATTGCAGTAACTTTAGCCATACAAACAATTAAGAAAAACAAAAGGCATTGATTCTCAAATATTTAAAATTTAAATATAATAAATATAAATATAAATATAAAATTTACCACAAAGGAGACTTCTGCAATGATTCTGAACAATAACTTTAGCCCCTTTTCAATGTTCGATTTTGACACACAACAAGTCTTCTCAAAATGTAAAGCCCTACTCCGCAATTATAAAATCTCTCAAAAAAAATCCAAATGGCTTCCGCTCTTCTTTTTCTTCTTCTTCAGACAAAAAGAAAAGAAAAACCTTTATTTAGAATATATCAATTTCTCTCAGATACAAATAGAAATTTTCACTCCTCACAATTTGAAAGAACACCCAAACTGATTTTTTCTTTTTCTTCAGATCGAAAAACTCCTCTGATTTTCCCACCCCTTTTTTCGAATTCCTTTGCCCTTTTATAGAATAAACCAGAAGAAGTCTTTCCTCATTGAGCCCAATGGATCCAAGAAAGACTTGGGGTCTTTTGGTGAATTGCCAGATATTCAGACTTGGGTCTTTCGTCAGTCTTCTCTGATTTCCTCTTTAGGCATTGCTTCTAGACTTTGGTTCCTGATGATTTCTACTTTCATGCTTTGTCCTTCGCTGATTTGCAGGAGCGATGCCGTGCGTGGGTAGGAGAGTTTGCAGAGAGCTCTGAGGATGAGATATCTTCAACAGTGATGGGAGCGTTGCATGAAGTAGTACACAAATTAGGGATAATTTTTATTCCTAGGTATAAGATAAAGAAAAGGAAAGAAAACTAACTAAAGGAACTAATCTGATTTCTTAAGATACTTAAATTCGATAAAAAAGAAAAAGAGTTTTTTTTAATTCAAAATTTACTTTAGAAAGAAGATTATTTAATTTTTTACAATTAGAAGTTAGCTGATAAAGTAAAACTAGAATTAAGTTTGTGAACTATGGTAAATCTGAATTTGTTGGAGAATAGAATTAAATTGGATGAAAAGAAATGATTTTCTTCCTTTTATTTTTTTTTTTATTTTTTATTTTTTTTATTTTTATTTTTTTGTATTTCATATATTTTTTTAAATAAATAAAAAATAGTGGGTTCACAGTGTCTCTTAGTAATAATGGCACCATGAGTCAAATATTGTTAGGTGATATGGCTCCCACCATGATATGGCTCCCACTGCAGTTGAAATAAATATTTCCTCCTAAGAAGAAGTTGATGATATGTCTCCACAAAAAAAAGTATGTGTCATACATGTTGGAATTTATATATATATATTTATATAAATTGTGTAGACAATATATTGGTTATGAATAAGAAGTTTGGTAGTGAAAGGGTGTGCCTTTTCGTCGACAAACAGATGTATCTTTTCATCCTAACGGATGTGTTGTTTCATCCTAACGAACATGTTGTTTCATCCTTGAATGGGTGTCTTTTCGTGTTGAACGAATGTGTTTTTTCGTGTCGAACGAATGTGTCTTTCGTGTCCAACGGATGTGTTGTTTCGTCGTCGAATAGGTGCCTTTTGGAACGTGACTTTACGTTGTCTATAAATAGACACTGACACCTTCAGAAAATGGATCCAATTTTTCTGCACTGAAACTCTGCTGAAATTTTTCTCCTTCCGGTTTTGCATGTTCCTTTTCATACTCCGGTGTAGTTTCCTCTGGCATTCAGTTGTGTTCGTTTGGGCTGTTGATTGGTAGTGCTATCATTCTTCAGACGAAATCCGTTCTATCCTGGGAGACAAGTGTCCATCAACCTGTGGCGTCAGTGAGAGGGCAAATTGTCTTAAGGAGACACGTTCTGTGGGCTCGGATTTTATTCCTCTGATACTGCATTTTTCATTCTTCTGACTCTGTCTGTTTCACACATATCAAGTAAGTCTGTTTTTAATATTTTTAATTGCACAGTGATAATTCTGATCATCTACCTCCTCTACCTTATACATGGGTTCAAATCTCTTAGTGATATAATATCACCCACTGTCTTCTATAACAATCTTAAGACAATTTGGTGTTTTGAACCTGTGATCAGTATATTTTGTTTCTTATTTTATATACTGTTTTTAGTTTTATTTACTGTATGATTAATTTGTGTTATTAATCCGTGTGATAAATTAATCTGTGTGATTAATTGTAATTTCTGTTTGTGTAACAGAAACGGAATTTCTAATCTGTGTTTAATGTTTTGATATGTGAACATTCAGACGGTATTTTCAATTTACGAAATTCGGAAACAATTTTATCTTCAAATATTGTTTTCGTAAGATTAATCTGTTGCATTCATGATTCTGATTGATCATGAAATGTGCATTGCACTTGTTTTTTATTTTATTCATGAAATGTCCGTACCACTGTTGGGGTGCATGAAAGTCTTATACATTTGAATAATATATATATATATATAAAGACAACTTTTTTTATTATCATCGTGCCAACATATTGATTTTGTCTACTTACTGTTACGGGATGCATTTTTATTGTCCTTTTTCAAATGCATGGAATGCATTGTGCCTGCGATTTGCATCTCGGTGTTCGTGACTCGTGTGACAAATTTTTCTCAGACAATATTTGAATCTGAGTTTACGATTTCCATCAGTAACAATTTTTTTTAAAAGAAAAAAAAAACTGACACCCAGCAGTCCCTATTCTCGTGTTTTCATTCCGTATAATTCTACAGTGAATTATTGCATCGGTTGAAATGAACAAAAAATGGGAATTCTGGATCTATTTTTTTTATACATGGCATCATGTAATTTTAATGCATATAGACATTCAATTGAAAGCATCGTTTTATATTCTGTAAATCAAGAATGAAATGTTGGGGATAGTGGTTACCTTTTACTCGGTGGTTTCTAAAGGAAACGTTACATTGTTTAAATTTTAAAATAATGTAACTGCAACCCATGAATAACAGTATACTAAAGTTGATGCATTGATTAAATTTCATGATGACATATATTGAGGTATATGCCAGAAATGACATATATTTGTTGGCATTTAATTGCATATGGTGCACTTAATAGATTTGATGGTATATTATCGCATTATATCCCTTAAGTTGTAACTTATAAATTTGAGAAGATTGAAATTCATTTTTGATGAAAATGGGTGGGTCTGTGAAGAGCTTTGTGACCGTTGACATGGTTAAATTGGAATTTATATATATATTGGAATTTATTCATAGAAGCCATTTTTTTTTTTGATAGTTTTATGGCTTTAAATTTTCAATATGACATCAATCATCAGATTGATTTGTTGGGTTTAATTTTGTGTAAATTAAATCGGATTAAATTTCTGATTGTAGAACAGAAATGACATGAGAAATGAAAGAAAAAAAAATTGAAATGGGTATGAGAATGAGTCTCATCCCATATTACCGATTGGCTTTCAATGGGTGATTGCAAGAGGACCATAATGGAAATTGAAATGTTTCTATTGATGGTTATGATTTGTGAATTAATGTTTACATATATATTGGGTTATTGGCTTTTGACCGTTCATGGCCTTTTACTATTTTTATTGCTCCTTGTCGTGGTATTAAATACATGACCAACGTGACGTCTTTGATTTGTATATATATACAATCGATTGATGCATTACAGCTTTGGGAATTAAAGTGTGGTAATCTTGTTGATGATCAAAGTGATTAAATTATTGAATTGATTTAATTCCAAATTGTATGTTTTTATGTCAATTGCTGGTGATTTTGATGTCATAAATTATATGATAGTTATGTTTTGCATGAAAGAAAAATAACTTTGGAATGAAAAATGTGAAATCTAAAATTCTGTGTGTTTGCAAAATATTTGCATTTTGGAATTAAAGTATGATAAATTTCTTGATGACCAAAGTGGTCAAATATTTGAGTTGATTTAATTCAAAATTATATGTTTTATTTCAAATGTCATAAATGATGAGATGATTGTGTATCATTTTAGGGTTAAAATTGGAATTTATTATTTGATATATTTGTTATAATCAAATAATGTTAAATTGAAAGTTAAAGGCATTAAGGAGCAATAGAGGGGAAGATTACAATGACCCTTCGAGGAGTTCAGTTTGGAGTGTGATATTATATAACAAATGATTGCTCCTTATGCTTCACAATCCAATGGGATTGCTGGGGAAAAAAAAACCAGACATTAAATGATATGATCTTATTGATGTCTGGTTTGTGGGGGGAAAGTCATTTAATGACAAATCATATATAATCAGTAAAGTACCCCACAAGAAAATTAAGAACATCCCCTATGAAATATGGAAAGGTAGGGAGCCTACCTTGAATTATCTTGAAATGTGGGGGTGTTTGACAAAGAGTATATCATATGACATATGGAAAGGAAAGAAGCCATCCTTGAAATATTTTAGAGTGTGGGGGTGCTTGGCTACGGTTGCGGTTCCTGAACCTAAGAGGTTGAAAATCGAACCTAAAATCGTGGATTGTGTATTCATCGGTTATGCACTTAATAGTGGTTCTTATCGGTTTCTAGTTTATAAATCTGATGTCTCAGACATACAAGTTAATACGGTTATTGAATCAAGGGAAGTTACTTTCTTTGAAGACGTATTTCCGTATAAGAAAATACAAGAATCAAATGGTAATAATGATGACCAGGTTGTGATACCTTGGGATGCTACAACTAATATTGATCATGTAGAGGATGTAAAAGATGAACCTAGACGTAGCAAGAGGCAAAGGACCGCCACATTCTTTGGACATGATTTTATGACATATTTATTAGAAAATGAGCCTCGAACGTCTAAGGAAGCTATAACGTCCCCGGAAGGACCATTCTGGGAAGAGGCTATCAATAGTGAGATAGAGTCTATCTTGTCCAACCACACTTGGGAATTGGTAAATCTTCCTCCTGGCAATAAGCCTTTAGGAAATAAATGGGTTTTCAAAAGGAAAATGAAAGAGAATGGCACTATTGATAAATATAAAGCAAGGCTTGTGGTAAAAGGTTACAGGCAACGTGAAGGTCTCGATTATTTCAATACTTATTCACCGGTTACAAGGATCACATCCATTAGGATGTTGATCGCGGTAGCTGCATTGAATGGATTACAAACACATCAAATGGATGTTAAGACCGCCTTCTTAAACGGCGACCTGGAAGAAGAGATATATTTAGAACAACCTGAAGGTTTTGTTGTTCCAGGACAAGAACGGAAAGTTTGTCACTTAATAAAATCCCTTTACGGGTTAAAGCAAGCTCCACAGAAATGGCATGAGAAATTTGACAAAGTTATGTTGTCAAATGGATTTCGAATTAATGAATGTGACAAATGTGTCTATGTTCGAAATACTAAAAAAGGTTTTGCCATTGTCTGTCTTTATGTAGACGACATGTTGATCATGGGGTAGTAATAATCAAATGATTAATGTTACTAAACAATTACTTAAAAATAAGTTTGATATGAAAGTTATGGGGATAGCAGACATTATCCTAGGTATTAAAATCCATAGAACATCTATAGGGTTGGCCTTATCACAGGCTCGCTATATAGCTAAGGTTCTTGAGAAATTCAAGAGTTTGAATATAACTCTTGTGAGGAACCCTGTAGATTCTAATATGAGTTTATTAAAGAATACTGGTAAAGCTACAGCACAAAAGCTATATGCTCAAGTGTTGGGAAGCCTTATGTATGTTATGAACTGCACCATACCTGATATTGCTTATGCAGTAAGTCTGTTAAGTTGCTTTACCAGTAACCCAAATGAGAATCATTGGAAAGCTATGGTAAGAGTTTTGGGATACTTGAAGTATACTCAGAATTATGCTTTGCATTACGAGAAATACCCTGCGGTTATAGAAGGGTATTGTGATGCAAATTGGATCACCGACTCTAACGACACTAGATCCACAAGTGGATATGTGTTCACCCTTTCTGGAGGTGTTGTGTCTTGGAAATCGTCCAAGCAAACCTGCATTGCAAGGTCAACCATGGAAACAGAATTTATTGCTTTAGATAAGGCCGGTGAAGAAGCCGAATGGCTTCGTAATTTTATTGAGGATGTTCCTAATTGGCCAAGACTAGTACCATCTGTATGCATACATTGTGATAGCCAAGCAGCTATTGGAAGGGCCAAGAACGTCATATATAACGGTAAGTCTAGACACATACGTCGTAGACATGATACCGTAAGACAACTACTCTCGAATGGAATTATTACAATTGACTATGTTAAGTCTAAAGAGAACATAGCGGATCCGTTAACCAAAGGGATTCCTTGAGAGTTGGTTGAAAATTTGTCGAAAGGAATGGGTTTAAGGCCTATCAATTGTTGAGCATTGCGGTAACTCTACCTAGAAGAGTGGAGATCCCATGAACTAGGTTCAAAGAGACAACTAAGTGATGGTCGACTGTTTAAACACTGTGGAGTTTTTAAACTCATACTCATTCCTAAGACAAGACAGTGTATTTATGAGGGTAAGCACTTAGGCTTTTAATGATTTCTTAATCTGTTGTGTTCAGATGATGTATAGTGAGTTACATCACAAGAAATCACCTATGTGAGTGTGAAGTGAGGGCCGCTTCTATGAGAATTTTTCAAAGGCCGATTCTCTAAAACACTCGCAGAACCAGGCAGGTGTCCCACGGCCAAAATGGGCACAACGAAGGACCAACTATGCTAGAGAAGCAATTGTGTGACTCCTATTGTCTAGGTATACACTAAAGGTTGACGGTTCAAGTCGACCTAGACCACCGATTGACCGAGTATATCCGATAGGTTTTCACTAGAGAAGGTTTAAAGGTAACTCCACCTATCTCGATGCAGTTGTTTCTCGTTGAGGAAATTACACTCTGCATTTATACTCTTATGCATTTTTTGTCACGATGATTTGACTTCTTATCCATGTGGGGGATTGTTGGAATTTATATATATATATATATATATATATATATATATATATATATATATATATATATATTGTGTAGACAATATATTGGTTCTGAATAAAAAGTTTGGTAGTGAAAGGGTGTGCCTTTTCGTCGACAAACAGATGTATCTTTTCATCCTAAAGGATGTGTTGTTTCATCCTAACGGACATGTTGTTTCATCCTTGAATGGGTGTCTTTTCGTGTTGAACGAATGTGTTTTTTCGTGTCGAACGAATGTGTCTTTTCGTGTCCAACGGATGTGTTGTTTCATCGTCGAATAGGTGCATTTTGGAACGTGACTTTACGTTGTCTATAAATAGACACTGACACCTTCAGAAAATGGATCCAATTTTTCTGCACTGAAACTCTGCTGAAATTTTTCTCCTTCCGGTTTTGCATGTTCCTTTTCATACTCCGGTGTAGTTTCCTCTGGCATTCAGTTGTGTTCGTTTGGGCTGTTGATTGGTAGTGCCATCATTCTTCAGACGAAATCCGTTCTATCCTGGGAGACAAGTGTCCATCAACCTGTGGCATCAGTGAGGGGGAAAATTGTCTTAAGGAGACACGTTCTGTGGGCTCGGATTTTATTCCTCTGATACTGCATATTTCATTCTTCTGACTCTGTCTGTTTCACACATATCAAGTAAGTCTGTTTTTAATATTTTTAATTGCACAGTGATAATTCTGATCATTTACCTCCTCTACCTTATACATGGGTTCAAATCTCTTAGTGATATAATATCACCCACTGTCTTCTATAACAATACATACGGCTCCCCTCTTCCCAAACACCTAACCAATATTTGTCCGAGGATATCCTTCAGGTAAGAAACCATAACCTCATTGATGATTCTAATGTACCTTTGAATTATAAATTCCCTGACAGGATCAATAGGGGAAAACTGCCTAATACATATTAAAAAACGAGATAACTCATTGCAAATTATGTGTGTACTGAGAAGTTGTTTGACTTCTTGAAGAGCTTTGTGATGAATGAATCTTCTATTCATGTTCCAAGTGGGGTACGCGAAGCAATATAGGATTCTAAATCGTAAAGGCTATGGAAGAATCATATTTTTCTTTCTCAAAGAATGTATGTTCTAGTCTTACTTGCTGAAGTGGGAATGTTAGATTGTAAGTCAGTAGTTACCCCCATTGTTCAGAAATACCCTGATCAAGTGCCAACAAATAAGGAGCGATACCAAAGATTGGTTGATAAATTGATCTATTTATCATATCGCAACTTGATCTTGCTTATGTAGTTAGTATTGTTAGCTAGTTCATGTATGCTCCAAGTGAAGATCATATGAATGCAATTGAAAGAATCCTCCGCTATTTGAAAGGCGCTCTTGGACAAGGACTTTGGTTTCGAAAGGGACCAAATTTGGAGATTGTTGGATGTACTCATCAATGTTATAAAAACTGGACCAAACCGGCTAGTTTGAACCGAAAATCAGTAAACCGACCCTGTGATCGGTCCAAGAAGCTCAATAGATCGGATATGTTAGTGAACCGGAGTGATTCGGGTTGAACCGGCCGAGATTATGAAAACTGGTGACTCACTAGTTAAAAAAAGTAAAACCTTGTATTACATCCTTCAAGATCATTAAGTTCACCTGCGTAATCTTCTTCGCCATGCTTAATGAGTAGAAGTAAATGCGTATTATCTGCAGCAAGCTTTGGCATTTTTTTGTTTTTTCATTATACGTATGAGAATGTTCCCATTTTTTTAGTAGTCTAATCTTCCCATTTTTTATTCACTGTTGTGTTGTGGTTTATCAAGTTCCTCTTTTAATTGAATGCATAATCTATTGAAATATATTTTTAATATCCAAGTTCCATTTTATATTTGTCATGTATTATTCATTTGATTTTTATTTTCTCACTTCAGCAGCAAAATAAGAATTTCGAAATTAAATTGATATTATATATTTTATATAATGGGCACAATTAGCCACAGTTATATTCATGGCTAATCTTAAGAATAATCGTAGTGAAAAAGTTATAACGCTCTACACTATCATAGCTAATTGAAAAAAATCCCGTAGCTAAACAAATGCAACGCTAGCAATATACATGGGCTGTGGAAGCGTGGTTAACTGATTTTGCCGCTGGTTTTTTTTTTATATTTGCAACGTTTTCAGACGTGGCGACGTGGCTAAACACCTTTTCTTTTGTAGTAATTGGCATGGGAATCACAGTGATTCATGCGGCCAAGCTGTCCATGGATTGGGTTGCTTCAACATGTATCGTTCCCTTATAAATAACTAACATAAAAAAACTTACATCGTCCCCTATAAAATTTATATATCAACCTGCCCCAGTTTTGGCTCTCTTTTTTTCCCGTACACTGAATTTGTTTGAATTGTTACAAAAATCCACATTCTGACTTTCATTACAAGAAGAACAATTATTACCAAATCAAGACACGTTTAATTTCCGTGTACAACATGCTAAATTTATTACATCTTTTTCCTTGATAACTTATGAAACATTAACTACTATATGACACAATGCATGGTAAAAGTTCCTAACATTTGAAATAAGAAAAATTAATTGTTATTAAATAGTGATTAGTCCAAAAAGGTATTATTGACTGACAGTTGTTTTTTATTCATTGAGAATAATCCCGACGGCAAAGTCAAATATACTATTGAGTTTGATAACAATTTTCGTTCTCCTAATGCGACGAAAATTCAAATGCTTATGTCGTAACCTCGTTCTGTCATTACAATTTCAATACCAAACGCGTAATAGTGCAAACGTCAAGTCCCAGGGAGTTTCTATATATAGGACAGATATTTTGGCTTCAAGGCAACACACATTTCACAGAGATTGCTTAATTAAATTACGAGCATCATGTCCTTCAACATAAAACATTTTTCCTTTTCTCTAGCGTGGTCTTTTGCTCTTCTGCTAGCTTCTTCCTTGGCGTCTGCAGCTGTTGTGGAACACACTTTCAATGTATGGGCTCGTTTATATATTCTTCTCCCTTTGTTTCTTAAGAAGATGAAGATTTATATTGATTTCCACGTACATATATAAAAAGGTAGCCTTGCTGATTATGTATATTGCAGCATGACATTCATTGCAATTTTATTTATTGCAGGTTGGTAACTTAACTGTGCAGCGCTTGTGTGATGAACATGTGATCACTGCAGTTAATGGAAGCCTGCCTGGACCTACTATTAATGTTCAAGAGGGTGACACTCTTGTCGTCTATGTATTGAACAACTCACCCTACAATCTTACTATTCATTGGTAAATTTTTCCACGTCCTTCTCTCACATATTAAAAGATAATTATATATATATATATATATATAAGAGCTAGAAATTTTACACTCAATCTTGATCATTGATCCACTTGTATCCAATGACTCATGTTACCAAAAAATTTGAGCCCTTAGATATAAGTGAGATTAACGGACAAAATTAAGAGTGTAACTTATACTGGTGTAAAATTATCCTGACTCATATATATGGGGAATGATCTGTTTACAAACTTTTTTTATAATTTTTTACAAATTACACTATGTACTCCCGGTAGAACATAATAGTATAGTTTGTAAGAGTTTGTAAACAAAAAGTTTGTAAATATAATCCTCCCATATATATATGTGTGTGTGTGAGGTTTACATTTCTGCAGTTGTTGTACGTGCAACAATCAAATATTTACCATATTGAAAAAATAATCATACAAAAGATTAAAGCATTAAATGTGGGGAATTATAATCATACACCCGTCATTGATGTATGTAAAGCAGCTATAAAAATGATTTTATATATATATATATATATATATATATATATATATATATATAGAAATCAACGGCTAAGATACAAGTGTACGACTTACTTTTTTTTTCTTCGCACCTCTATCGTGATACTTCTTCCAGTCATTTGAAAACTTATGTCACCCGTATAGTTATTGCTTGTATTAAATAATCCCAAAATGAGACTTTCTTCAGTAATTTCTTCTAAATCTCATCTTTGAAAGTGTAAATTTTCTACGTAGAAATATATCCAACATATTTATCTTTTTTCTTCTTCTTGACTAACCATATAACAAATAATTTAATGTGGAAACAACTATATATGCAGTTACTTTCACATTATTATTATTATTATTTGTAACTAAATTTAGGTATATTTTACGGTATATTACGCAGGCATGGAATTTTTCAACTTTTAAGTGGCTGGTCAGACGGTCCTGAATATGTAACTCAATGTCCAATACCATCAGGTGGGAATTTTACCTATAACTTTACCATAACAGGACAAGAAGGTACCCTTTGGTGGCATGCTCATTCATCTTTTCTACGTGCAACCGTCCATGGAGCCCTCATCATTCGCCCTCAAGAAGGAAACTCATACCCATTCCCTTCGGTCAACCAAGAAGTCCCCATATTGCTTGGTACTAATTTTTTTGTTTTTCTATTCCATCGAATAACTAAGGTGCTGATTGGTTCAATATTTCTTAAAACTTACCTATGCAAATTAAATTGGCAAAGTAAGAAAGCAATGTTTGATAGACACTTACAAAATTTCCTTACGTGTTGTATTTGCATAGCATTCCTTTACCTGTTCGTAGAAAGCATGTAAAAGTTACTATTTGTAAAGACAACTTGTGGGTGGTATTTTACATTTAGCCGGCTAAATGGCAAAAGAGCAACTCACTAGCAGACCTAAATACCCTCATCTAAAGCGCCAAAGTTTCACTTTCTTTATGGGGTTATATTTGTAATTTACACCATTTACCCATCAATATTTTATTCTCAACCAAACATAGGTTTCAAAAACTTTAATCAATTTGTCTGGTAATATTTGACCCAATCAAACAATTTTTTTTTAACTTTCCTATCTAATTCACTTTCCCTGTACGTAGATCCCAAGTAATTACATTTCCTCGATGAACAAAAATTTTCACTTGAACCAAAAACCCCCTAAGTGATTTGACTATCTAAATCAATGTTTTAAATGAAAAGAAGAATGTATATCTAGTTGTAATTTATAGTATTAATGTCATCAACTAACCATCTATAAAAATTTAGCTATTTAGTATAAGATACATGAATAATTTTATATTTTTATTATGTCATCCACTAAGAGTTCTTAATGTATAAATTTATTTACCCTGATGCTTAAAGTTAATATTTTATTGAAAAAATAAAACAATAAAGATAAAATTTTAAAACAATTATTATAAAGATTGTGATACAATTAATATCATATATTAACTGCTTCAAAAAACTTAAGTGATCGAAGGAATACAGATAAATAATTTTATATTTTTATTGAGCCTCTAATTAGTATTTAGTTAAAATTTTCTAAATACATTTGATAATTAATTGCAGGAGAGTGGTGGAATGACAATGTTGTTGATGTTGAGAATAATGCAACAGCAATTGGCGCTGCTCCAGCCTTGTCAGATGCTTTCACAATTAATGGCTTTCCAGGCGATACCTACAATTGCTCTCAAAATCGTAAGTCAACTGTTTAACAGAACCATAAATTTTCATATATATGCAAACGAAGTTTAATTCATACATTTAAATATTTTCAACACTCGAAGATCTAATTTTCTTCAAATTTTAATTGTCCCCCAGGTAATATTTGACCATGTGTAATATTAAAATTCAAATGTATTATAAAATATAAATGCATCTCATTATATATATATATATATATATATATATATATATATATATATATATTAGGGTCATTTTGTGCTGGTGGTGTAAATTACATTTTCAATCTTAATTATTGATTTTACTTATATCTAACGGATCAAAATTTTAAGTTAGGCGAACATTGAATACAAGTGGATTAATGATAAAAATAAATATAAAAATTATTATTCTTATTTTAAGATTTTCTGGTCATTGATTCATTTGTACCTAATGACCGCTTAACTTAAAAATTACATTTGTTAAATATAATTAAGTGTAATCAACAATTTTGATTAAGAATATAACATACATTTTATAATAAAATTCTAATAATAACATGGAGATCACCTAAGTATATTTCCCACCTCAAACGGTTTTATCTCTAATTTTGACTTTGATGCAATTTCAGAGACATACCAACTCAACGTGAATCAAGGAGAAACCTACTTGTTGCGAATAATCAATGCTGCACTCAACGAGCAACACTTCTTCAAGATAGCCAACCACACTTTCACAGTGGTAGCAATCGATGCCACATATACCCAATCCTATGAAACGGACGTTATCGTGATAGCACCAGGCCAAACCGTTGATGCAATTCTAAGCACAAACCAAACCGTGGGTTCATATTACATGGCCTTCACACCATACCATTCGGCCCCAAACGTTAACATAAGCAACTCAACCAATACAGGAGTGGTATTTTACAATGGTGCCTCATCAGCATTACCACCCATAATGCCTGACCTACCAGATCAAACTGACACACCAACAGCACATAAGTTCTACACTAATATAACAGGGTTGGCAGGTGGACCCCACTGGGCCCCTGTTCCTCGTGATGTGGATGAAAACATGTTCATCACTTTTGGGATTAACCTTGACCAATGTAACCTTCCAGGCCCAAACAAGACATGTGGTGGCCCTAATGGTAATAGAGTTTCAGCCAGCATGAACAATGAGTCTTTTGTGTTACCTAGTGGGAGAGGGTTTTCTATGTTGGAAGCATTTTACAACAACGTTAGTAGGGTTTACACCAAAGACTTTCCAAACCAGCCTCCATATGTGTTTAACTATACTGACCCATCTTTGGCTACCAGTAATTTAATCGCTTTCGCACCTAAATCAACGAAGGTGAAGACATTGAAGTTCAATTCAACTATACAGATTGTGCTTCAGAATAATGCTATCCTTGCTGCGGAGAACCATCCCATGCACATTTATGGCTTTAATTTCCATGTTTTGGCTCAAGGGTTTGGGAATTACAACTCCACCATTGATGAACCAAAGTTTAATTTTGATAACCCTCAAATACGTAACACAATTGCTGTGCCAGTGGCAGGATGGGCTGTCATCAGATTCAGAGCAGATAATCCAGGTTGGTTTCTTCACTTGATTAAATTGATTTTTTGGGGGACATAATCAAATTAAATTTTGGGTTTAACTTATTTTTCAGATAGATATAACGTCGTTTTATGGTTTTAAAAACATGACAAGTGTTAATTATTTTAAAGGACACTATCGTTTTAAGTGAAACTAATTGTATTTTGATGGTTTTTTTTTTACCTTTTCTTATTCTACTAAAATATAATTGTTTCACTTTTTTTGTGGTAAACTAGAAGTTGAAGTGGGGTTAGATACTAATATCCCACTAGGATCATAGAAAACCTCTAATTTTTTTGAGAATTTTTAGAAGAGATTACATATACAATTGTTTCACTTAAAATGTACATAAAATTTACCTTTTAAAATTACAAACGTTTTTTTCCTTCAAAAAATACAGGGCATTTCAATTAGGTTTATATTATAAGATAGAAATAAAATTCTCAAATGCCCTGCAATTTTTCTCTAAATCCCCAAACATTATTATTGATCTCACAAGATAAATTTATCTTTGGTTGATTTTGGGTTACAGAAGATAATGTTATCTACCAGATAAATATTTTTTCCTTAAATTTTATTATGTAGGGATTGGATTATGATAACCAAATTTGAAATTAATTTCTTCCATTTTTTTTTTTTGGTAACAAATTTCTTCCACCTTTTTAAACACTATGTAGGTATATGGTTTGTGCATTGCCATTTAGACAGTCATTTGACATGGGGGCTAGCCATGGCTTTTGAGGTTGAGAATGGACCTACTCCTTCATTCACACTGCCTTCGCCACCAGCTTATATGCCTAAGTGCTAAGTGAAAAGTGCACCCATACAATCATACCTTATAAATTTCAAAATAAATTAATCACGAAGATTCGCTGATATTTATCCACTTTCTACTATTTTTATCATCTTTTTTTAGTACATAAACTTTCTACTATTTGATGATGTGAATTCCTAATTCAATTTGTTTGATTGGGAAAAAGAAAGTGTAATAATGGGCGAAAGGTTATTTTCAACCACGTCACTTGTTGATACTCAGTTCATGCACCCTGAGAAGTATGATGATATATTTTTATCCATATATATGTTTCTTTTTCTATTTCTTCGCAGTAGGCAATATAGTCGTCCTTAACTAATATATGTATGAGAACCAATAATGAAGAAGAGCACATGTGACACATGCACATGTAAATTGAATTAACCGAAGTCTCACTACTAAAAAAACATCATTAGAGACGGAATTATTCCGTCTCTAAGTGAAATATTTCCGTCACTAAGTAGATTAGTGACGAAATTAGGGATGGACAAAAATCCGTTACATTATGGCTCGTCACTAACAAGTGGAGACGGAATTATGAATTTGTCCCTAATAGAGACGAATTTTAGGACGGAACAAATCCGTCTCTATCTGAGACGGAAAAAATTATATCACTATTAGAGACAGAAATATTTCCCTCCCTGATAGTGATGGATAAATCCGTCCCTGTGATATTATTTTCTGTCACTAATTTATGCACGTGAAATATGTGTAATCTGTTCCTATTAGGGACGGAAGTTGTTAGGGACGGAAGTTATTCGTCTCTGTTAGTGATGGATTTTTTCCCTCTCTGTTAGTGACAAACAATTTTCCGTCTTTTTTATTGATGGATAATTTTCATCTCTGTTAGGGACAGATATTTTTCCTTTCTATTTGTGATGGATATTTTTCCCTCTCTGTTAGTGATGGATTGTTTTTGTCTCAGTTACTGAGAGAAATTTTTTCTCTATTAGTAATATATTATTTCTATCTCTATTAATGACTGTTTTCCATCCCAATTGGTGACATATATTTATATCTTTATTTTTCGTCCCTAATATTTGAATTTTTTTCAAAATCAATTACATTGAAAATTTAATTTTTACCGAAACCTAATATTAATTATAATCTAATATTCTTACAGCAAATCCAACTGACACAAAATGTAAAGTGGCTATACTAAATGAAAATAAAGATCAAATCAAATCCAACCATTGTAATACAATAAGTTTACGTGAATTCAAAAAAAATAACAAATGTATGAGATAACAAGCAATATTTACAAATGAAATAAGAAAAGGAAATATGCATGTTATCAATTATCATCATGCAACTGAGCATCACTATCATCATCATAATCATCACTTTGTGCATCTAGCGTCGAAGTCATAGTAGTGGATGTGCGCACATCTCCTCATAAACGAGCCATCAACATCGCCCTCCTAAAATTATCACGATCAGTCCTTCGCTTCAAAAAGTGCTCCTAAAATTACAAAAATTACATTAGTTATCACTTAATGAGTAGTGTATACTGATATAAAAAATATGTACATACAAAATTAAACAATTATCAAATACCTTAAATTGATGATACCAATTGTCTCCCACTGCCTTGCGAACCTATTTAAACTCATCCTCAAATGGAATACACAAGCGGTTCTTACTGTGTTGTATCCTTCGTGAAGTCGTAGTATTAACCACAAGATGAAGATGTTATTATCTGCCTCCTATTAAATATGGCATTGCACTATTGCAGAGACCAAATAAAAGGAGTTTACTACCTAAGATTTTAGCTACATGTGATTCTGCAGCGTGATGAGTGCCTCCTAAAAGTGGTACAAAGATTAAGATACAACGAACAGCGAAAATGTATTTACATTCACGTGTATGTATCAAACTACTAAAATCCTATCAAGTTTAAAATAAAAAACCAATGAGAAAATACACATAATTGTCTTTTTGCAATTGGAAGAAATTTTATCCCAAAAGGATAAACCAAAAGGATTAAATATAAAGAACAGAAAGAAAAAATAATGTGTACCTGCGTGTTGAGAAAAAAGATGGTTTCAAAGCTGGAATGATAATTTTGAGTGGCAAATCCAGAAACTGTGTTGAGAACGGGGATGGTTACAAAGCTGGACTGGTGGTTGTGTGTGGTAGATGCAAAAGTGATGTGGGCTATGAGAATGGTGAGAGAACAAACAATAAAATTGAAAGGCGGGAATCAAGATTTGGAGGTGGGAATGAACTGAAACAGTAAAAAACATGGGAAAGAAGTTTTGGAGGGATTGAAAAAAATAATCTTTATTTAAATAATATCTCATACAATATGGATTTGATTGTCGTCTCTTTATTTAGTTTTTATCTATATAAAATTTTCAATCTTGTGTGTAATTTATGGGTTTTGTTTTTAATCAAATTGTTTAAAAAAATCCAAAAATTAGAGTTCGCGCTCTTTAAAAAATGGAAGAAATAAGCATGCTTTAATAAGTTAATATTACGATCCAAGTTCACTTTTTTAAAGCAAATAAAAATCTTCGTTTTTACATATAAAAGCAGATAAGAATGTATTTATAATTTAAATTTTGTTAAGATTTTTACATACTAAGATTCAAAATAATTTCAAAAGTCATTACTTAAGTCACTCTTTATCAATTTTCTCCCAACTAATTAAACTATTACGTACAGCATCCTAATGTTTTTGATTAGTTTTTTTTCAACTTACTGTACGCTTTAATTCAATGAGGGGTGAAAGAGAAATTATATGCTCTTTAATTTCAACTTACTGTACGGTTTTTTTTTCAACTTACTGTACATTTTTTTAGGATAAATTATACGCTCTTTAATTCAAAGAGATAATAATTTTATTTTTCTAATTGCTTCAACTATGCTCAATGGATACTCAACTTTCAGTATCAAAAAGATAGGGAGGTGGAGAGAAATTAGGGGGATGATGTGAGTGGGAAGTTAACAAATCTTATATTTTTATTTTCAATTATTTTTTAATTTTTAATACAAGTTAGATTTTCTTAAATAATTTTTAAACGATGACATGGGTTAATACTTTTTAAGATGGGTTAATTTTTTAATATTTTTAAATAGTTTTTAAACGATAGAATACAGGTTAATAGATTTTAAACGATAACATGGGTTTTTTTTAATACTTTTTAATATATTTATACATGTTTTTCGGTTAATACTTTTTGTATTTAATTATTATGTATTTCATTCCACTTTCGGTTAATACTTTTTAAACAACACCATTTTTTAATACTTAATTTTATTATGTAATTTGTTCTGTCCTTGAGACAGAGATATCCAGCCTAATAGGCTGGTGCGTTTATCTTGGATCTAGTGCCCTCTCCAAGGTATCTATGAATGAGATACCCTTGAGTCAAGCAGATCACTGTGCACAGAATAATACTATAACGGCGTTAGCCAATGGGGTGTGTGTGCGCACAGTGACAACATAACAGTAAGAGAAAGAAGCCACGTACCTTTAGGGTTTACCTTGTATTTATAGAGGTTATCTGTGGGTAGTGTGGTTGGGCCCTTGGTGCCTCTGGTGAGGGCCCAGGCCTGTTTGCTATGTTGTCGTATTAGGATTAGTATACATGATGGATATCTATCATTTGTTAATATCAATCAGTATCTTAGATTGCCTCTTGTCGGGATTATCACTTGATGGGCCCATTATATGGGTCCATAACAGTTACCCCTCAGCTCGGCTACCTGGGCATCCGGGTAGTCGGGGTGAACTTACGTGTGCATCTCTTCAGGTTTTTGCCCATGATTGTGTACTCCGCTTGTGATCCAATTTTTTTCCACGCGGGTGGCCCTTGCCCCTTTATGTCGACGGGTTGAGCATCAACCCGGTGAGATATTTTGC